TGAATTGAGATGCATACAGTTCAATATGCAATTTCAATTAGGGTATGGCAGTAGCATTCAATTTTTTTGCTTAACCAGTGGTAACTATGCGTAGTCAATTAGTCTGTGAAAATGTTATCCTCATAGCCTAGGGGGGAAAAAAGGCTTAATAGCGACAAAAGAGTTGTGGCATGTAAATACGTGATGAATAAAATGCAGTTTTTGCTATAAAAATGTGAACGTTGAATAGAATGAGTTTTTAGAACCAGCCATGAAGGTGTTTCCATTTATTAGCACACTTTGCAGGCAAAACAAATATTTTATTATAGGTTTATGTTTGGGAATGTTTACGGGTTTGATTCTCGCACCTATTTTGGAAAATGATTGCCTTTTTAATGAGAGTAGAGAAAGTTATACAAGTGATCATCTGTCTCGTAGTCGTTCTCTAAGTAGTGATTCCGAAACAAAAGGAGATGAATATGAACCCAGGGTTAACCTCGCTGCTAAACCCAAGGCGGCTCAGAAGAAGCCACAACTTTTGAATCGGCCTCGATATTACTCAACAGAATTAGGGATACGTGAAAAACTTTTTGTTGGTGTTTTGTCGTCACAATATGATGTATCTGCTCATGGTGTTGCATTGAACAAAACTATTGCACACCTAGTAGATAAGGTTATGTTCTTCATTGATGCGCCTGGACCTCGAAAGCTGAACATTTCAATGCCTGGTGGAATAGTGGGTTTCACCGACACTAAAAAAATACTGAAGCCTTTCCATATGCTTAAATACATCACCGACAATTATTTGGATGAATTTGACTTCTATTTCTTGATTAAGGATACAACATATGTCAAAGCCCGACAGCTTTATGAGATGGTGCAAGGGATTAGTGTAAGTGAAGATGTCCATGCTGGAAGTGGCAAGAGAAACGAATATACTTCATTCTGTTCATTGGGTATGGGTATGAACCATAACATTTTTCCTATTATCCTTGATCATGTTATTTTGTATTTGCTTGCATGCTGTCAAGTAGTCATTTAAGAAGTAGATCCCTTTTTCCTTCAACTTGAATGCTGTGATTGAGTTGAATAGTTATATGGATTTTGATGTGAGTGTTATGAAGAATTTTAAAGTCCTTTTGGATTCCCAAAAAATTTGTTTTAAAAATATATAAAATTTCATAAAGACTTACTTCTAGTATCTAGTATGTATATCATTACAGATGCTGGCTTGCTTCTTAGCAACTCAGTAATCCATAAAGTAATGTCATCACTTGACTGGTGTGTTAAGAATGCATTTTCATATTCTGATGATGACAATTTGGGACGGTGTATACTTCACGCAACAGCCATCTCATGTCAAGAATCGATTCAGGTATGTAGTATGTCATTTTCATATTTCATGTGTGCATCATTATTGTGCATTTGTAGACTGCAGTCAAATAATACCAAATTAATTACCACAATCTTCTGTTTTCAGGGGTATGCATTGACAAGTTACACTCTAGACAGAACCTTTAATATGGAGGATGATATCCAGAGACTAGCCAGGGATTCCAGATTTGATTCTGCATTGACACTTTATCCTGTTCAAGAGCCAAATATTTTGTTTCAACTACATGCCTACTTCTGTAAGGTAAGTAAACTAAACAATGTCATTGCTAAGAATGTTGTTGGTTGCTTTGTATCCTGGAATTATGTGGGTTATAAGACCTGTATCATGAGACAACATTATAACAGAGACTGCACAGTATCAGAATTGTTACAAGCAAAAACCAATAGCTATAATAATTGACTACAGATAAAGTAATTAAAATTAATACTTATTACCATATTTACTAGTATAATTTCCTGCCCTTCTAATTACTACTTATACTATAGCTGCAACTGCTACTAATCTATGCTGCTGAGTCTTTCTTGAAACACTGATGGTTGCTCAGCTAATCAGGAAATTCCCTGCATGTATGGAATCAACATGTTCATTACCATGTTAACAGCAGCATGCAATTGTACCTTGTACCGACACAATTAAATCTACTCTACACCTTGATGACCTGTTCTAGCATATGAATCCTAAACAATACTACTGATTAGATAGTCTGCATTAATTAGTACACTGAACAATATATAGACTTTGACAGTGCAATCTCATTGAATTTGGTATACCCATGAAACTAGTTAGCTTAAAAGAATGGTGTTTAAATTTAACCTGTGATAAAGTCTGCATTGGTAAACATTTATCTGATGCATTTCCTAACCCGAGCAAGTGCATTTTAAATGACCTACTTGGTTTCTTAAAACAATTCAGTGAGAAAGAATGTACTAATTAGAAACATAATTCAATTTGTGATTGTCATGGGCTTTAGAGATTAGCAAACTATTTGAATTCATTATTAATAATCATCCTACCATATATTACATTAACCACAGAAGTACTTACTGCCTCCATTGGATGCAAGTACCTCTGAAACATTGCTAAACTTATACCAGACTACATGGTGCTAAAACCCAAAAGATATCCATCTTCACACTCACCACTGCAAGAACCTCAAATCCTACTTATCCTCATGTTATACATAAACTTTATTTACTTATTGAGTAATCTAATTTTTTCATTACATTATAATTTGTCATTATTATTTCATAATAGGTAGGACTTGTTCACAAAGAACAAGCTATAACAACACTGCATAATTCTCTGGTGAACATGTCAGAATTGACTCCTGGGGGACGAAACAGCGTAACCTGGCCAGTTGGAAGCCCATCAGGAAATGTGCCAACCAACAGGTTTGATGTGCTTAGATGGGATTATTTCACAGACACAGAAATATACCTACATTCAGATTTCTCCAATGTGAAGAAACTTGATGGTGCAGATAAAACAGATATACAGGTGACAAACAATTTAATATTGTCAAGAAAGATTCTTTTTAGATATGTTCTGAAAAAAAGAGGCAGAAATAGTTATCTCTCTTAACTCTGCTGTGTCATTCACTGTATACTGATGCCATCAGACCAGTTTATATAAATGTCCTTTATACATAACAGTTTAGTACATTAACAGTGGTAGAGCATTTAATTTTACTGTGTTAGGTGCAACAAGGCTGATACTGAAAAACAATCCAGAAATTAATAGGGATGTTAACCCTTTAAAACCCAATAGTATGTATATGTATCACTCCCCATTTTATATTAATGTTGTTTGTGTGATTCTGAGTGGCAACATCATTTCCTTAAACAGTGTTACTGTTTGATCTTAGTAATGGAGAAGTGTTGTTTTTTAGGTAGGGACTAAGTTCTTAAATATTTAGACAAGCTTCAACTTTGAAGGGTTAAATGATAATTTTATCAATTTCATGTGCACCAATAAGCAATCAATCAGATAATTAATTGGTAAATAGAAACACACTGCATTACAGATTATATGTACATTATGTAATGAGCAGCAAAATATGAATATTTAAATAATTTGGAGTTATGGAAAGGTCAGGTAATTTTTCTTTTCAGTAATGTAACACATCTTCACGTTATACAGACCATTTTCTATAATAAATTCAGCATTAAGAGTGGAATATATGCTCTTATAGGCTCTAATTAGTAATAGTGTCTCCTGTATAAAGTCAGAATTTCTGCCCCCCCCCAAAAAAAAAAAAAACTCACCAAAAATGTCATGAAAGAAATTCACAGTTTACTGTTTTGGGCAAAAATTATAGATTCTTCTTTAATCTAATAATATATTCCATTTCTTTTATTGTCACTACAATGCTTGCTAAATGTAAATGCCACCCTTCATTGTCCCCATCTCTTCACACTGTCCAGTACATTCCAAAAGATGAACAGTATTAATTAATTATTATTCTGCTGTACTGTGGTGACAGAAGTGTGCATTAAGCATACAAATGATTGGAAGCAAAGAACAGCATATTGTTTGAACCATTTTAAGGTAAAATTTCCAAAAAAATTGTTTGTTCAACCTTCAGTGAAACTTCTGAAGCTCTAGGAATTTTGAAAACTTTGTTTTATATGACAAGGATAAAGCCTCTGCAGTAAATATATAATTATACCAAATATTTATATAAGAGCAAGATTGTCAATAAAATACAGATGTCTGTTACAATGTATATAACTTGTAATCTGTAATTTATTATTGAGGCCTGCATTATCCCACTAGTCTTCCTATGCTGTTGCTATAAGAACTGTAGACATATTTATGTTGAATAAGGTACAGCAATTTTAATTTTAATATATTTATGTGATCATACACATGAGAAGACCAGTAGACAGCATATTGGAGAGTCAAGAATGAGACCAACTTTATCAAACATTTGTCCAGGCACTGTTGTGTAAGATTGTATGTTGAACTATGACAAGAATACATATATATGCAGTGAAGTCATTAGTAAAACTAAGATATTCCTAGCATATGTTTGTATAATATTCATAGTATGTGATGAATGCAAGTATCAAACAAATGGAGGCAGAGTGGGGAGAACATCTGCAGTATCGCCACTTGATAAATGGCTACAGAAGATTTGATCCCTCCCGTGGTATGGATTATCGTCTAGACCTGGCATTCAGGGACACTACCACTGGACAAGAAGTGCATAAAAGGTACAGAAATTAGTTTTGCAACATGTGTTTGAAGAATAAATGGTAAGACCATTACTATCATCACAAGAGCACAAGACTGGGTTCTATCCAGAGAGTTCAATCCAGCATATTCATACATCCCTCTTTTCAAACTTCTATTTAGTATTTCCCTACCATCTATGTTTCAATCATTTGCAGGCCCCTTGTCACAAGAGTATGGTGTGTTGTAGACAGAACAAATGGCCTACATATACAGAAAAAAGGTAGTGACAGATATATTGAATAAACAGACATAGTTCACAAGTACAGTGCAGACAGGTGGGCTAAGGGCTAATCACCCCTCATCCAAAAAGAACTAGTGTGTTTAAATTGTTACAGAAGGTCTAGATTATTTGGCATGACTGAAGGGAGTGACTGAAGGGAGTGACTGATAAAATCAAGTGGCTGGCATTTGTGAATAAGCTGTGAACCTCAGAGTTCCATAAAGCGGAAAATTTCTTAACCAACTAGATAACTATCAGCTGCTCAATAAGAAATACCCAAATGATCTCTTTCCAAAAAGTTTTCCAACCAAAATTTCATATATAATTATTTTTTCCCCAGTTGTGCTACATGATGATGTCAGCTCAGTCTCCTTTATGTAATCATAGGCTGTCTCATTTTTTGTTTATGTAATTCAGTGTGCACTGGTTTGGTCCAGTAACATTTAGTATTCCTGCCTATTTTATAGCTATGAAATCACCATATAAAGCTATAATACTAATATTATCACTTATATTTTATAGCTACCAAGACTTATCAACTTGTATACTTGTTAATCATGACAACCCACAATAGTTGTCAGTAAAGAGACTAACAGTAAATAGATCTTCTGTGCCTGGTAAGGAAGACTTAGGTCATTTATGATATTCCAGATTGGAATAAGCAGTAATAGCTCAGTCAATAAAATGAAGGAGCAGTATATGTATTTGTTAATTATGAGAAGCTAATTTGGAATGATTCATAATAGCACAAATGTGGGGGACAGGGTAACACCTAATCTCATCAACCAATTGGAATATTACCATGTTATGCCTTGTTCCACTGCAGAAGCCTCAACATTTACTTTTAACACAAAATAAATATCTAACATACTTTTTTGGAAACATTGGATACAGTGAACTAAATCTGAAGGTTTTATTATCTGAATACAGTGTACATACTAAAATATTTCCATTAATACATCCTGCATAAAGTGGAAATGTCTTAGGTAAAAGAGAAGTAATTTCATCTCCTTATTTTCAGAGTGGAGGTATGTAAGCCATTAGGCAGAGTAGAAGTGGTACCCATGCCATATGTCACTGAAAATGTACGTGTGAACTTGGTTCTGCCAGTGGAAGCAGAATATAAGCATGAAGCACTAAAGTTCATGGAAAACTATGCTAGGATTTGTATGGAGAAGCAAGATAAGACTTTTCTTATGCTGGTATGTTTTTATAAATTCATATATACTGGATGTGTAATGAATGACATTTTTAACTTAAATTACTCTTTTTATTGAAAACAAATTATTATTTAAAGCTACTTATAACTTATCTGCTATTGTAGGTTTTGCTATATGACCCAAGTTTACCTGGGAAAGGTACAAAGGATGACATTTTTTTGTCAGTCAAGGAGATGGCTCTTACTTTATCTGACAGATACAAAAAAGATGGAAGCAAAATAGCCTGGGTATCTATAAAGATCCCTTCATCCTATGAGTTTCCAAGTGATCCACTACTGGAGTTTGTTGTGGCTGACTTAGTTGTTAGAAAGTTTTCACCAGAGTCACTCATCCTTACATGTCAGTCGAACATGGATCTAAGGCAGGATTACCTTAATCGGGTAAGTTTCACTGATAGCTAAAAATACTTCAAAACAAATGTGTGTATCAAAGGCAGCTCGAGAAAGATATTAAGACCATCTACCATAAATCAGAGACAAAAGGGATGAGTTTGATACTGACTTTTCATAAACTCATCTCCAGTTTCTAAAATGCATTACTGGTACAAAGAATTGTTTAAATTATTAAATTAATTAAATTAAAAATGTCTATTGCTTTCATTATGCTGATGCTTTTAAAAGAGGAGTTTGAATACAGGAAACATATTTCTTTCTTATATTTCACATACTTCATGTAAAGTATCTGCACAACTTTAACACAGGATGTTAATTTGTTTACATGTGTAGATAAGATGAAACATTTGTAAAAATTAATTTTGACATAGCTACCTTCTGTTTATTTTCCTCAGGTACGTATGAATACTATATTGGGCTGGCAAGTTTTCAGTCCCATTCCTTTCTCAGAGTATCATCCAGATATTGTGTATAGAAGTACCAGCACAAGATCAAAGGAATTAGATATTGACAAAACATATGGCCATTATGACACTGGAGAGTTCAGCCACATTGCATTTCATGCTCATGACTATACCACAGGTGATTACAAAACAGCTGTTTCTAATAACACTTACATGTAAAAAGATTTTAGTATGGAAATATATTAATGTTTAAAAATATTTTTCATTTGCTCCTCAGCACGCAAACAAATAGAAGACATGATTCCAATTGTACGAAATGACAGAGACATTCACTCACTTATAACCATGAAATATGACAACCAGTCAACTTCACCTTCTTCATTATATGGAATGTTCATCAGTTCAGGAAGTCTGCACATTCTGCGTGCTGTTGAGCCTGGATTGCGGCTACATTACCGAGAGAGAAATTGTCAGCATCTGAACATTCAGTGTGCTGAAGCTAGAGCTTTCAATTTAGGAAGCAAAAGTCAACTTGCACAGTTAATATTAGACTATGTAGCCAGTCACAGCCCTGCATCTTCTGCCTAAGATGTTTCCACTTTGTGGATCATCCAAAAACTAAGCCTGTTCATTTCTCTCTACCTTCTGACAGTCCCTCCTCAGTTTCTTGCCATAGTCTTCCTTCTATGTGGCATCTTCCCCATGTTTTTTTTAATCTTGATTTTGGTCTCCCTCTTGGGTGTTTTCATTTTTACTCTCATGTTTAAAACCTTCTCTGGGATTTCTCTTCATTCATTCTCAAAAAAATATCCAACTTCCAAGGTGTTTACTAGCTTCTTAATTTCTAATTCTCTCTTGGATTTCCTTCTATAGTTCTTAAAATATCACCTCTGCTGCCATTAGTCTACTAATATCTACTACCTTCATCCATGCCCAAGTTTCTGCTCTATACATTAACATGGGCATGTAGTAACTTTAAAATAGGCATACTTTGTCATTTTGTACCAAAAATGATGTGGTTTAGTGCAGGGGTACCCCCAAAATAGATACCAAATATATCCCCCAAAATTACAAAAAATGTGGGTGATTTAAAAATGTGTAATTAACTGATTGTGTAGAAACCTTGAAGAAATTGCAGTACACAAGATCTGAGGTGCTCAAAATATTATTTTAAAACTTAACAAAATGTTTATCCACAAAATCTCATATAAATAAATACATGTGCTTCCTCACACTGTAACACAATTGTATTTTACATGTAGATGACGTTTTATGTGTAAGTCTTAGTGATGCTGACATGAATGCCACAAAACCATACAAAAGTAAGTTTTCTTTGTAGGTGAAACACATTCTTCAATGCTCTTATGATAAACCTAATGTTGTAGAGAATGGACTTTGTTGCAGTGGGAAGTCGACATGTTTCTACCTAAATTCTACATCACTATTATTCTTCTCTTTGCTCTCCAGTGTGCTACTTCACAACTGTGAGCATTGCATTTGAAATATCTGCTGTCTCAGTATCACTATGCAATGACTAAAATCTGACCTCAGTTTCTAGCTCAGATCCTGAATTTTTAAAAATAATAATAATATTACAACTTTCAAGAAATTTGGATTGCCTGTGGTTCACATCTCTAACTCTGTTGGGTTCTGGCATATCCACTTTATAAAAAAATGGCATTAATCAGAAAGCAGCATTGCCAGAAAAGAATGATAAGAGGATACTTACTGGAGCTTTGTAAAAAACAGGTTTTAATTTCTTAATGTTAATAGGTCTGACACTGATGCGTACCTCCAATAATATGATGCTCTGTTTTCTTATGAAGCCATTCCCTCCCCTGAACAGATGGTATTTCCTTAGGTTATTTTATTATTATTACTATGACTTTTAATTGTGCACGTTAAACACATGACTAGTCACACTAGACAGTAAAATAGAGATAGAGTGTGATATTTTCACTTTACAGCTGCATAGCAAATACATAATAAAAAAGAATCAGTGCAATTATCTGACATAAAATGGACTAGAAGGAATGCCTTACACAATGGAATCAAAGTTTCAGACCTACAGATGAATAATTTTGCATGAATTATGAAAGTAGTGATATATTATTACAATGCTCAGACCTTGAGGCCAACATATATTAATGTAATATAATTTTGCATTTGGTAAACTTATGTGAAATTAAGATTAAATTATTTTATATTGATACATTCAATTATACTGGCTGGCACATAACATTATCTGATTATGCAAATAACTGTATGTGTAAAAAGAGACTGTGATAGCATTTACCAAAAATGTTACGAATGATAGTTTCATGATTTGTCTTGTAATATGTATCGAATTTGTTCAAAATATTATATTTCAGATGTAAAACTTAGTTATTTTGTAACAATGATAGAAACATGAATGAAGAAGAATTGAAAGAGAAATTGTGAATATATACCTGTGTTAATAAAGTTCAGTGTGATGTCCATTCATCACTCAGCATACAACTCATCACTAATTCCAGTCTCCTGTGACACCTGAGTAACAGTATGTATAGTTACAGACTCAGCATTGTCTATTATTCAAGCTGAGAGAACACAATGTTTCACAATTTCTCTTATATTACATGTTTTCATTCATGTCACAAAACAGTAAAGCTTCAAAACTATGCTGTATTGTTTCAGACACACAATATATATTTGAAGGTTTATAACAAACTATGGTATGCACTTTTATACTTTTTAAGTGCAGTTGCCTTTAGGAAGCTTTGTAAAAGAAATGTTGATATTAATCTTACACTGCCATTCTGAATGAACTGGGACCGAAATATAAACGAACTTGTACTAGGATATCGTCTGTTGGTGGCGCCCTACAGTTGAGTATGGGCCCAAGACACCTGAAGAAGGGCTGTAAGATGCCCATCATTTCCTTTTTTCTTTACTATTATAGTTCATATGAATACATGTTTATTCACAGTGCTCAGTCTAATTGTAAATTTATTTTAATGGTCATCACAAAAGTTTGAAATTAGATTTTTAGTTGTAACTATATGAAGCATAAGAATGTCCATATAATATAAATCAAAACAGTAAGAAAAAAGAATGATATGTGCTGTGAAATTGAGAGGACTGGAGAAATGCCTGTGGCCTTCTTCAGAGTATTTTCCCTGCATCAATGTGACAGAACTTATGAAAACCATAAAAAGGTTTTAGCATGACAGCCTGTGATCTGGTATAGATTTTAACCAACTGCTTCCCAAGTTGGAAGCATTACATTTGAGCTAACCTGCTTGGTATGTAATATTTACAAAGCATGAATTCATTACTATTAAATATTTATATGTTTAATGCCTAAATATCCCATTTTACATCCTAGAGCTTGATAATGTATTAATTATTTAAAAGCCCAGTTGTAACTATGTGTACCACTTGCTTTACAAACAGTAACTCTACATTATTCCCACATAGTGGACTTAGTGTTTGTTATGGTTCACAGAATAAACAGCAATCATTTCCCTAAGGGCCTCGCTTTACCAACTCTCGCCGGTAGAAACTGATCGCAACTGATCTGGTTGAAATTCGGTCGGTTAATGAGGGAGTTGGATAATCGAGGGTCGGTTAACAGAGGTTTTGTACTTCAAAATACATAAGAGTAAGTATGTTAAGTAAAGCTGCACCCACCACGGAAAGTACCTGATGCACCTGTGAAGTTGAGACTGTTTGGTATCATAATATGATGTCCATTGTCATGAGTTTGGATTAGAGTGTTTTTATTGTTAGTTGATATTATGTATAATTATATATTCGATAATACATATGATTTTCAACATGTCTTATTTTAAAATACAAAATCAGAAGAAATTATTCACTGAAAGATAACTGCAATCCACTGTCCTCACACCAAGTATCATCACTTACTCATAAATAAAGTTATCCCACATTGCATATGATATTATACATGACAAATTATGCTTCAAGTAATACAGGACAAAAAAGAAAACTTTTTGCTTCTAACCACTGCACTGCATTTAAGTTTTCCTTCTGTGTGTCTGAAAAATTTATACCAAACTTTGGTACATAAAATATTTAAAATATCCACATAAGCGAAGTACCAAATTTACTCATGTAAGTGCATGATGAATAATGAAAACATGTGTATTCTCACTTGCAGATATAATAATTATTCATAAAGCCAGACAGTAATGAACAATTTTATCTGATCTGATAATGATTGAAACTGCACTCATTACATTAAACAATGTGAAAAGTAATGTCAATTTTCAGAAAGTTTATAATACTTCATTATATTTTTATATTTTTCAAAACAAGCTGGAACATAACTTGTAAGTGATTACTGTGGGTCTTTGTAAAAATAAAAACATGTTTTCGTTTCTTGATGCAAAATGTAAACACTATAATGCTGCCCCTGTACTTCCTGCTTTTTGTTTTATTTAGGTGTCCCAATATTTTTATTAACTTTAAATGATAGGATGTAAAAATAAGACTAGTCAGCACAGCACAGCATGGATTACCCCTTCTAGAGCTATACCTACTACTCCTAATCAACTTTTGTTCAAATCCAGTCAGTTTAGAGAATCAGTGTGAATAGCCTGCCTAACCCACAAGGCAAGAAAAGAAATGTTGATTACACTACTGTTGCCACTTGTCTTATGCACCTGTTTTGCTTTAAGATGTTTTCATTTTATGTGGGTCATCTGACAACCAAGCCTCTCTGTCTATCTCTATTCCTATAGCTCATCCTCAACTTCTTCCATATCCTTCTTAATCTTTTATTATCTTATCTTGGTCTCCCTCTTGGATATGTTCAATACCTTTTTTTGGGATTCTCTCTTCATTCATTCATTCTTAAAACATGTCCACACCATCTTATTCTGTTATTAGTTAGTTTGCCTTCTAAGCTGTTTAATTTTAAATTATCTCTAATTTTACCATTTGTTTTGGTTGTTCTTTCTGTATCTGATATATATTAATACAGTTCTAATTTCTATTTTATTTTTTATTCCAATCATTATTGCTTAATGGATAAGTTATATAGAAAGCCAATGGCAGTTTTAGTTCTTCAAATTATAATCTCGGACCTGAATATTACTAGCACACTATGAAGCTTCTCAGGAAAGACTCTGCTCCAGAGTTAGATATTCAGTAACTGCAAAATGTTAAGACTTGTGGATCACAATTTTCTGAGGCCCTTGCTAACAACACATCTAGAATTTTGACTTGGGGGAGGGGAAGGGTTCAATACAAACATTCAAAGTCTACATCAAATTATAGATGTCATCACACTGTAAACTAGATATGTACATTTTGCCACAAGTACAAGTAGCAGCAAAAAATTATCCTACCCTCAATGTTCAGACAAGAGAACAACTATATTCCTAAGGTCTAAAGGAAATCATTAAAAACATTTAATTTTCCATCCACCCAGAAAGTTTCTCAAAATGTTGAGTAGACTGTTATTTTTCAACAATTTAGGGTTTGCAATACTCATCTGTCATAAATACTGATATATTTTTAAAGTATTCTGAATTTTATTGAAAATTTCCTATTATTACTTTAGATTCAAATATAATGGTTTATTTTATAAAACTATGCAGTCTATTAGATTTGCACTTTTGACTTCAGTCACTTTAGATAATGGAATGGAAGCAACATCATTTAAGTAATCTGACAACAAATTCTTTTGTCATAAACGATCTTGTGTCTGATCAATAAGTCACAGTAAGTACTCACAATACTTCAACCTCACCAAGTATTCAGTAGGTTAGTCACTCTCAGATCCTGACTCAGATAGCTGCAGGTCTTCTGTTAGGAGATGATTCGGCATAGAGAGGGAGGGTGATGCTGTCCCATTCATGTGACCTACAATCACAGCAACATATACACATTATGGTCTACGTCCAAGCAATATCTGAGACAGAAGAAACAACATATATTATTACCAGGCTGGTTATAAACATAACCTAAAAGAAAGTCACAAAGAAATTAAAAGACAATGGAAATATAATTTTTGTTCCTACCAATTTTTCCCCACCAATAATCTTAGAAACGTGAAATTTCTTCAGAGTACTCTGACTCACAGTGAATCCTAAAGATGAAAGATGGATATATTTGATGACAATGAGATGAATGGCAAGTATTAGAGTATGACAATAACAAATATTATTTTCATATGCCACATTAAATAAAGTATCAAACAATAGTAGACAGCACATATCACAGATGAACCTTTGTATTTCTAATGAAGTCAGTATTTCTAAGTTAACTGTCCACTCAAAAGTCTGGATTTGGGAAGAACGTTGTAAGATACCAAGTTCAGTTAGAAAACATACAATGTTAACCACACAACAGCAAACCAGTTATCACTAATGGTTGCTACTAAACTTGTCTATAACTTCCAAAAATGAAGAGATGTTATTGTACAAATAAAGCATACATGTTGTTACTAATAATCTAAGAGAATCATTTTAGTACATAACGAATATGGATGACTGTTTTCAAGAGTCTAAACCAGGCACATTCATTCCAGCCTAGGAATTTCAACCTTTTTAATGCTGCCTAAGCTACATGTGTAATTTATCCCACCCATATAATGTTACTTTGTGATTTTAAACCTACAAACATTCTATGTGGTATCTCTTTGAGGATCCAATGATGCATAACTAAAACCCCATTTAACAGAACTTGTTATTAGTTAGTTTGCCTTCTAAGCTGTTTAATTTTAAATTATCTCTAATTTTACCATTTGTTTTGGTTGTTCTTTCTGTATCTGATATATATTAATACAGTTCTAATTTCTATTTTATTTTTTATTCCAATCATTATTGCTTAATGGATAAGTTATATAGAAAGCCAATGGCAGTTTTAGTTCTTCAAATTATAATCTCGGACCTGAATATTACTAGCACACTATGAAGCTTCTCAGGAAAGACTCTGCTCCAGAGTTAGATATTCAGTAACTGCAAAATGTTAAGACTTGTGGATCACAATTTTCTGAGGCCCTTGCTAACAACACATCTAGAATTTTGACTTGGGGGAGGGGAAGGGTTCAATACAAACATTCAAAGTCTACATCAAATTATAGATGTCATCACACTGTAAACTAGATATGTACATTTTGCCACAAGTACAAGTAGCAGCAAAAAATTATCCTACCCTCAATGTTCAGACAAGAGAACAACTATATTCCTAAGGTCTAAAGGAAATCATTAAAAACATTTAATTTTCCATCCACCCAGAAAGTTTCTCAAAATGTTGAGTAGACTGTTATTTTTCAACAATTTAGGGTTTGCAATACTCATCTGTCATAAATACTGATATATTTTTAAAGTATTCTGAATTTTATTGAAAATTTCCTATTATTACTTTAGATTCAAATATAATGGTTTATTTTATAAAACTATGCAGTCTATTAGATTTGCACTTTTGACTTCAGTCACTTTAGATAATGGAATGGAAGCAACATCATTTAAGTAATCTGACAACAAATTCTTTTGTCATAAACGATCTTGTGTCTGATCAATAAGTCACAGTAAGTACTCACAATACTTCAACCTCACCAAGTATTCAGTAGGTTAGTCACTCTCAGATCCTGACTCAGATAGCTGCAGGTCTTCTGTTAGGAGATGATTCGGCATAGAGAGGGAGGGTGATGCTGTCCCATTCATGTGACCTACAATCACAGCAACATATACACATTATGGTCTACGTCCAAGCAATATCTGAGACAGAAGAAACAACATATATTATTACCAGGCTGGTTATAAACATAACCTAAAAGAAAGTCACAAAGAAATTAAAAGACAATGGAAATATAATTTTTGTTCCTACCAATTTTTCCCCACCAATAATCTTAGAAACGTGAAATTTCTTCAGAGTACTCTGACTCACAGTGAATCCTAAAGATGAAAGATGGATATATTTGATGACAATGAGATGAATGGCAAGTATTAGAGTATGACAATAACAAATATTATTTTCATATGCCACATTAAATAAAGTATCAAACAATAGTAGACAGCACATATCACAGATGAACCTTTGTATTTCTAATGAAGTCAGTATTTCTAAGTTAACTGTCCACTCAAAAGTCTGGATTTGGGAAGAACGTTGTAAGATACCAAGTTCAGTTAGAAAACATACAATGTTAACCACACAACAGCAAACCAGTTATCACTAATGGTTGCTACTAAACTTGTCTATAACTTCCAAAAATGAAGAGATGTTATTGTACAAATAAAGCATACATGTTGTTACTAATAATCTAAGAGAATCATTTTAGTACATAACGAATATGGATGACTGTTTTCAAGAGTCTAAACCAGGCACATTCATTCCAGCCTAGGAATTTCAACCTTTTTAATGCTGCCTAAGCTACATGTGTAATTTATCCCACCCATATAATGTTACTTTGTGATTTTAAACCTACAAACATTCTATGTGGTATCTCTTTGAGGATCCAATGATGCATAACTAAAACCCCATTTAACAGAACTTGGGTGATGAAAAGGCATCAGGTTTGGGGCAAAATTTCTGAAAAATTCTGAGATGAACCATGAAAACAAACACTTTTGGAAATATTTAACTCTTATTGCAACCATGATTTTTCTTCATGTACAAATCTGGTAAAAGCAGAGGCCCAGCGTAGTTAAGGTGGCAGATCTTGAGGTTCTCATGGTGGTAAAAATGACAATGTTGCTGTTCTGAGTTGTAATGCCATGTAGACTCATAGGAAAACACCAACATGTTACAGATACATACTGCCACCATCTTCTGAGCTGAAGTTAAGATGGATTCTGAGATTAACTTTAAAACAGAACTCACATAGTAAAGACTCTTTTTGGGGGTCTGGCAGTGACTCATTCATTTAGGAAATCTTAAAAAGAAAGGTCACCATAATTAATCATAGGACTTTCACTCCATAACTGCATACTGTATAGAGAATGAGTATGCATTAAAGGGGTAATTAAATAAGAAAATTGTCAATTATTTCTCAACTGTGGTTTAGTTATGTTGGTGATCTTCTGGTTTATGATGTTGTGTGGACTAGTATTCAGATACCAACGTTTTAGACAAACACACTGTCTCCATTTTTGGGGCCGTTTTACCAAAAAAAATTGTAAGAGTAAACACAGCCTCACCACCCAGAAGAACATTATAATTTTCATAGCTGTGTCTTGGCCCAGAGGCCAGCTATTCTGACTGAGGTAAATCATGGTTTTCTTCAGTCCCTCCATGCAAATAATGGGATAGTACCTTAAATTAGGCCATGACCATTTCCTTTACAATTCATTATCACACTCATTCAATGCTATATAGTCTGAGCTACTGAAAAAGTGTTGTGAAATAAATAAATATAAATATTGAAAGCCTTGAGAACCTCAAATCAAATTGTTTATTTAGAACCAGCCCTGCAGCTATCCACACCCAGTCTCAGATTCTGTATTGATTCGGGACTAGCAAAGAGACTTAATACCTTGTGAAACAGTGAATGTAATTGTGCAGAAATCTGAGAACAGGACAATACATAAAATTCAGAAACCATAATGCACAGCTACAGTAGCTGTAAGAATTTCTTATAGAAATACCTACCATTTGCTGTAACTGTACTATTGCTTGGTTGAGTTTCAGGTTCACTCTCACTTCCTGATGAATCACTGGAGTCTGATGAGGATGTGTCAGACAAAATTCCAATCTCATTTGCAGTTGCCCCTACTCCATCATCATCTGTAGGGCGAATATAATCTGGAGACACTCTAGGAAAATTAAGTGTCTGCTGGGATTGTTGTGAAGGAGCATAAGAACCTCCAAACCCCAAATCTGAGTCATCAAGACCAATCACTGGCAAACTTGCAGGCAGTGAAGGTGGAGATTTGTGTTGAGATGATAGGCCTCTAGGAGGGGACCTGGATGAGGGGTATGAAGGAGATGCATGTAGAGGAGAGTGACGGGGAATACACCCCAAGGAGGAGGCTAAGTGATTAGGCTTGGGAGAAGTTTTTTTCTTATTGGAACGATGCTGAGGAGATGGCAATTTGTTCTTGCTATGAGAGTTTAGCGAGTCCACTGGTGTCATAGGGCGCGAGGAACCTGAAGGTAGTCCCAATTTAGGAACAGACTCCATTCTGAAAGAGACAGTAATAAAAATATACAAGTAATGTAAATGATCCACTAACAAAACAAAGACTATAAAGTATTGCAAATGACTTAGATTTCAAATTGTCCACATATCAAATCACAGAAGCAACCATTCTGATATTTCTGTTCACACAGTCCTTTCTGAGAACGCACAAACAAACTGAAGAAATTAGCAATCACAAAATAATTAACAACAATAAGTTTCAAATGTTTATGAACACTGCATTTCCTTTAGAACAGAACAGAATACATTTACATTCCACAGATCCTGCATAGGCCCAAGCCAAGTATGTAGAACATGTCATAGCACAAATACGATAATTGTTTCTAATACAAATATGAAGTACATAGTTATGACAGTAATTTACAGTCAACTACAGAATTACCACAAAAATAATTACACAAGCATACCCAGTATTGCTAACAAGTATTTATAATAGCTGAGAGTTTTAATTGCGATAAATTAATTTCATTTGTATCTAAAGAACAAATGACAGAAATCATGACCTGGGATAGTAGTGACTAGCTACAGACTGGATAACCAGAGGTTCAATCTCTGATGGGGACAAAGGATTTTTCTTCTAACCTCTGCATCCAGATTGGCTCTGGGGCCCACACAGCATGCTATCCAATGTGTAGCAGGGTCCTTTCCTGGGGGTAAAGCATGGCAGGGGTGACACTGGCCACTGACCCCCATCTAGTGCTGAGGTTAAGAATGAGTAGGAACTATACTGTTTCTCCCTCCAAGCGCCTACATGGTGTATAATGTGGCAGATTTTCTTACTTTTACTTTACATGACAGAAGACACTAAACATTCTTAATTCTGACTCAGAATTACTATTTTTATACCTTGTTTTCTTGACTTGGATATTGGAACTCAATTTTTCTAGTGTAATTTCTCCAGTCACCCTATCGATAATAAGAACGCATTCTTTCTGGTATGGGCGTTGTGATCCCTTGAACACAGTATGAGGTGTTCCAGCTCCATCTAGATGAGGGACAGTTACTGTCACTTGCTGACTTGATCCAATATCGACAGTTGCAACCTTGCTAACATCAACACTTGCAGGTTTGAAGTCATCTGTAAAATTAATAATTTAAACATATTTAGTTGATAGCTGAATCAGAAACAATGTTGTGTGTGTGAATAAATATATAACCTCAAAATATATAAATTCTACTGCCAAACAATCTCACATGGTATAACTTACATCGCAAAGTGTGGAAAGAATCTCCTCGGCTGTTAGTAAAGCTTGGTCCGAGCTTCAATTCACGAACTTCTTGCCCTAACCCCAACTTATCAGCCATATTATCGCCATTCACTCCATTAAGTTGGCACTTCTGCATATATATAACTAAACTAATCTATCGTGTGACAAGGCTGGTGATTAACAAAACTTTTTACGTTTCTCTATACTGGACGTAACCATTTAACAAACTCTAATGAATAAGATAATCATAAATGTTATTCTTCCCTTTTAATATGCCTCAAAGTCAGTAAATGAACAAGTGAATTAACCTCTTAGGTGTCCCATAATACTTGACCTATTTCACCAAAGCATAAACACACGGACTGTACAAAACGTGAAGCTGATGAATTACGAAACACAAATGATGTACGATTAAACAGGCAACAGGATCACAGACAGGCACATTATTCAGAACACGAATTAATACTACAATCAGAAGAATGGAACTACATCCACACCATATGTACAAGACTTACACGTTACTCTATTTAATACCAATATCACCATGATTAAACAACAGTTTTTCCAATATTTTACGATAATTCCTGTTTCATTCGGTAAATCGTTCTTTGTAATAATCTTGGTTAATCAAAAATAGACCTATGGTCTTCGACAAGGATCAATGTGAGGCTAAAGAACATTCGTCAATATTTTACTGTATGTTGGTAACGCGACCATTGGACATCTGACAATCAAATTCAATGTAAGCAAGGGAATAAATGTTGGCATAGACGAAGCCGTGGTTGAACATTATACTTAATAGGTTTAAAAATGAAAGGTGGAAATGTAATTTCTTGGTTCACTACAGAAAAGGGAAGACGAATTGTATTTGGAGGAGTATGCTGTGTCGGAATCGGCATATCGTCATTAAATTTCCTTTCTGATACATTTTTGCTGAATAAATATAAAGAAATTGTCCAAATGTATGGGTAAGTAAAATTAAGATTGTAGTTCCAAAATTCACTCAGCCCAATGAAAGTTTTACGAAAATGATTTTTGTGATACTGGTTAGTTATTGTATTATTTTTACATACAAAGCGTAAACACTTTTGCTCGTAAGAAAATAATTACGAGGTAATTCAAAATCATGCAGACTTTATGGTAGCACTCATGGACTGTTTAAAGGTACTCTCCCATCGTGCTGCGACAGAGAAGCCACAGCATACCATAGTGAGACCTAGGCACATATCTGAACCCCCAATACCTGTAAAATACAGACTGCTAACGAATGTACTACACCAGGCAGAAAGATTGTTTACAATGAATAAGCATTGGTATGATGACTATGTTTGGTGAGGTGGGAGGAAGTAGTCATAATCTTCCATAAGATAAAATATTGATATTGGCCATTTCCTAGTTGGGTTTGAACCAGATACCTTCTAAGGGCATAAACATCTCAATAAACCAGGAGTGATTTTTAATCAACTATGGCATATGACCAAATGTTATCTGAAACAACAGAGTAGACAGCATAATTTATTTTTAATTCACAGACTCGGAATAGGTATCCCACTCCCAGCCAGAGTTAAGAGACGCATAGAAGATGTGATGGATGATATGCAGATACCTGATAAGGAGCGTAAACTTATTAAACCTTTCACTGTCTTTGGATTCGACATGTTCCATGCAGGATGCACACAAACAACAACAGGAGCGCTTATAGGAATTCCATCAAATTTTGGATATGAAACCACCTCAGATGTGAATCAGTCTCATATCCTTGTAAGCACCGTGCAGTAAATGATATTGACAAATATGTGACACTGAAAGCTTGTGAAAGAAATACATACCTACAGTTAGAATTTGTATGTGTCTGTCTTTGTTTACAAATATTGAGTCAACATATTTTTGCAGTAACACATTTGAAAAATGAATATTCCTTTTTGCATAATGTATATTCGTTGAAATGAAAACATGCCAAGGTGGTCTTATATATGTGGTCCTTCACAGCATTCCTCCCACAGGCAGTCACCATCTCAGTACTGTGTTGCTCATTGTGTTCTGTGTTAATATTGTTACCAGAAACCCAACCTCAACCTTATCATGAGCCACATGAATCTAGTTCACATCCTCACACTCTATTACTTCAAGGTATATTTTAATAGTATCCCCTATCTATACCAATTGGTCTTTTTCTTTCAGATTTTTAGACTAAAATAAAATAAGGAAATATGTCACTTAACAAAAGCAGATGCTATCATTTTTTGAGAATTTTATAAAAAGTGATTTCAGAATAAAGAAATACTAATTGATACTCAGGTTACAAGGTTCTAAATCCAGTCATTGGAGATTGTTACCACATTATCACAATTTATTTTCCTCAAATTAATTTTAATAATATCTATCCAGCTTTAGCTGTCTTCCAAGTTGTTCTTTTTCAATTTATTTTATTCCAACATTTTTACATTCACTACAAGCTATATGTTTGCATCTTGTAACCACATTTTTTTAGCTACTATACTAATACTAATAGAAGTACAGCTATCAATGTAGACTGCTCATCACTGTATATTTTTATACAATGCAGCAAGACAGATTTGTTTGCGATAATGCCTTTTCCTTTTACATCAGGTTGACATGTTTTGAATGAGTGGTTGTAGGTGCATCCATTCACTCACAAATTCAGTTACCAGAAAATGCTTATGGTGATTATGTAAAACTTTGAAGTTATATCCAACAAATTTAATGTGTACAGAATATGTACTTAAGTAATTAGTTATTTTCAGAAAGAAAATAACAATAACTGAAACATATTTACAATTGCAAGCATTAAAATAATAATAATAACATAACTATAAGAATAACTACTCAAGATTTGTAAGAATGGAAGTCTGTGCAAAAAGAAAGTATGCTTTGTGAGTTGTCATTCAAATTCATTGTTTGTACTTACATTGCACTTTTAATCAGGATATCCATTACAAAAGCTTGATACTCCCCCCCCCCCCTTTTTTAACTACTCAAGATTTGTAAGAATGGAAGTCTGTGCAAAAAGAAAGTATGCTTTGTGAGTTGTCATTCAAATTCATTGTTTGTACTTACATTGCACTTTTAATCAGGATATCCATTACAAAAGCTTGATACCCCCCCCCCCCCTTTTTGTGGAATGAATATATTAAAATGTTATTGATGTAACTTGTGTTATTTAGGTGAACCTGGATCAGGTGTCTTGGGGTTCTGAGGCTGGCAAGAACTTGCTTGCAGCAATGGTACTAAGTGAGGAAGCACAGAAATTTGCAATTGGCCGGGAAATTGCTCATGTCCAAACACTTTATGTCTATTTCAATAGTATTTTTCCAGCCCTTGTGATTACATTTATGTATGCCTTTGCATCAAAATGCAATAGTAGGTTGGACTTACTAAGTCGGCCACTTGCATTGCGAGGTTTTTTCTACTCCTTGGTTGGTCTCTTTGGATTCGGATCTTGGGCTTTTATGAAGGTACAATGAATTCTCTTGTAAATGTAGTTCTTAACATAATTACAGTATTACTTATTGTCTGTGAACCTCTCTCACATAGCCAGTGCCAGCACAGGAAACTGATTTTTGTACCACATGAGATTTGAAAGCTTTTGGTTCATTATTCTCTTGATGTGAATAATTGAAGGCTCTGCACATATGACATGTTAGGAATAATAATAAAAGAAAATCATCATAGTAAGTTAAATGAGGACAAAAGAAAGTATTTAAATTAGAAAAAAGTTGCTTTGTCTTTCTGAGAATTGTAGATGCTAGAACAGGTTTATGTACATGATAAAGAAGAGAGTTTGACAAGATATTATTTTCTCATGTATTACTGAATTTGTTGCACAACAAACACTGAAAAAGTGAACAAATTTCATGTTATTGTAAGTTAAGGAATAAATGCTTCTGTAAAGTGACCAGTTGGAAGGTAGGTACCAAGCGACCTGAATGTGAATGTACTAATAAAACTAGATTATAGTCTTACTGTATAATATTCAGTAATGCATAACAAGAAATATTGCTTTTAGGATTTTACCACTATCCATTATGAGAATCAAGTGGATGAACAGATGTGTGCTTTGGGAGAAACCTACATTAAAGGAGGCATTGAATTCTATTCTAAGCTACTGAATAGAAATATTGCCCTCAGGAAACTGATGGGGAAAAAGGTAAATGAGGGACTATCTTTAAGAATATCATTTGCCACTGATAATACTGGAAGAAAGAAATATTATGAATATGGCTGGAACCAAGTTAATGACAGTTTATAATTATCGCTTTGTCCTTCCAATAAGATATCTTGTGTACCATTTCCATGACAATTGATAACAAAAACAGAATGTAAAATGTAAAAGTTCGCATTTTCACATGGCAAACACCCAGGTTTTTACTAACGAAGAGCCAGTGTTAAGAGTGTTTGAAAATTACAAACTTGCAGAACAACTAATGAAGGTACAGACTAAAAATATAGGCACCAATTCACTGCACGACTTATAATACTGATATTTGAAATCAGTCTTTTACTAAATAATGGAATTTACTGGTTCCAGTGTTGTAATCTTGGATTTGAGACTGACGGGATGAAGTGCTGAATTTTTCACATGCCTTTCCCATCCAACACTTTTAACATTATTTGTCTGAAATTCTAAACTTTTTAATCTTCAATGTATCAGAATCAGTATATAAATTTAAACATGCAAATGGATTTAACAAGTATCCTAAAATATCAAACCATCATATTAACAGAACATTTCTTCCCTTAGCATTTTCCAGAAATTACTTTGGGCTTCATCAGCCATTTTATATGTATAATTAACTAACTCCATAGTATAGACAATATCTTACTTTAGAAGTTGATAGTTACTCAGCTTGTATTGATATTCCCTATTTTTACAGATCTTGAAGGTTCATTAGGATGTCACAAAGAGCCACCAGTAAACACCTCACTTTCCATTTCTCCAAGATCAATTTTTATATTATCATCCTACTTGCACCTAGTTTTCCCAAGTTCTCTCTTCCATCCAGGTTTCTGGACAAAATCCTGTATGTTTTTATATGTTTCACACATGTATAATGAGAGAAACTGATAAAATAAATCAAAAAGTATAAGAAGCATTTAATAGAAATACTATGTACTGAAATTAAAGTCGTACCTTTCCAGGGAGTGAAATTATATACAGCAACAGGCAATGACCAGTATATGGTGAGACAGTTACATTTACCGCTAACGGTTCGCAAAGAATACTTCCAGCTACGTCTTGAAGAACTTACGAAACATCATCAACAACAGAGCTCTACAAAAGTCATAAGTGAAAACAAATCTCCAACCATTTCACACAGTGC